TACTTTTAATGAAATTTTATTCCACATTAATTTTTTAACTATATTTTAGTAATTTTAATACTCAAATTGTATTGTTTTATATAATCCATACTTAAAAACATTAAACTATTTATTAATTTTAATTCTATCAAATTTTGTGGAAACATATCCGACCAAGTGAAAAATGTTCATTAAACCGAGAAACTTTATCTGTATAATGGCTATTATCATTAGAGTTTGCCCTCCTCTAATTACCAAGAAAAGGATTGCCCCTACATCTAACCTAAAACATCAATTGATTATAAATTTTTATAAAAAAATGTGTTTTTAATTTTAAATGTTAGATTTAAATTTCTCTCTTTCAAATTTATATTTATAAAAAAATCAAAAAAAATAAAAAAAAAAAACGTCCACACACCCAATAGATCAGACATTTTCCTGTGTTGAATAATGCCAAAGCCCAATTACGTCATAGGTCTCGGGTAATTTCCTGCGGAAAACTTCTCATAGGTCTCGAGTTCGAGGCCACCCCATTCCCTCCTCCCCCACAATGTTACTATGTTCAAAAAAAAAAAAATTTGATAATTCAGGTACATGTTTGCAATAATTTTAAGAATGTGGGTAGTTGAATGATTTCAACATATAAATTAGTTTTAATCTATTCATTTGATACTATTGCATCACATTATACTACTAAATACGCAAATTATAAATATAATATTTTTTATATGAGAATTACGTATAATGGTTTTTTAAATATAATACAATATGTTGTATAATATATCATAGTATTTTATAATTAATCTTTTATTTGAAGTTTTGGCAAAAATCAACATATAAATACTTATTTAATATTATGTCATATTATAAAATTTATTGTATTTAAAAATAATGTATGTATGAGACTATCATACAAAATATTATACTCCATCTATTTTAAAATAACTACTTTTATTTTATTTTTTTTACAAATTAAGAATTGTAAAATAATTTATATATTTATTTATATTATCTCTAAAAATAAATAAAAAATTTTAATAATAATGTGAATAATTAAAGTTAAGAGATAGTAATTAAAAAAATATTTATCTCCT